TATATATATATATTAAAATAATTCAGAAGAAGGACACGAGGAAAACAAAACAAAGAAAAATAAAAACAAAATTTACATTCTTAATAGGGGAATTAGGAACAGATTTGAAAATGGTTCAAATTGTGATAAAAGTAAAACTGTCTAAAGCTGTGAAAACAACATTTAAAATGATGTCTAAACTAGATAAGCTGTGAGTGCAGTGAAGATTAAGCTGCAGTGTTTTGCTTCTACCCTTTCAAGGTAAAAGCCTTACGAAAGCATTTCATTTATTAGTGACTTTTGCACCAGAGTCACATCGATCCAGTCTTGTTCACAGAAGCGCACACATCAATTTTGACACAGAGGCATCCTTGCTCATCTTTTTAAGCCATGTAGTCTGTTCTCCAGACATGCTCTGCATAAACTCCCAGCAGCAGCTCAGGGTTTTATCCCAACGTTGAATGTTCAGGTGAGCCGTGTCAGGGATCAGAGTTCTAGTCTGTCTGCATTCTAGCATTGCTACTGTGTGGAATATACCAGTTTCATTTCAGAAAAATGAAACTGGTTCATATTTATTTTGGGACATAAAAGCAATTGTGAATACTTTTATTTTGGTGAAGATTATATCTAAATATGGATTATTACAACAATAGAAGTGTAGTGACGTGTAAATCACCTTGGGTGGCTCCTGTCAGAGGTAGCCGATGCTAACCTACATGTAGCTGCATCGATAGATTCACAGGCTGGAAATACAAATGGCAGAAGCTTAAGGATCGAACCCTGCGGTACGCCACGTGACAACGATGAAGAGCGTATATAACCAAAGAAAGGTTCAATAAAACTAAAAAAAAGATGGCTTTGAATAATAATCAGTGAAAAACTAGATGTACTGAAACATACAGCACATAGGTTCTGAATGTAACATTCTAACTTGAACGTCTGACTTGAGATGGATATTAGAGGGAGAAAGCAGTGAGCAATCATATTATAATGATTTAATGTAGTGGATTCCTCTGGTGTGATGACCAAACAGCATGAAACTGAGACTTCCTTCAGTGAATGCATGGGTAACTCTGTGTGTGTGTGATTTCAGTGTATGTGCATGTGTTACATTGGCATTAATGCATGATCGGTTTTCTCGCATAAGAAAAATTCTCTTTATGCATGAATGATGTGCATGTTTAAAGAAACCTTTTAGTACAAAATGCTATGCTATATGCGCGAGAATAAATGTGAATTTTTTTTTCCTACACGTAATTTAATTTGATCTGAAAAAGTCTCTTCATTAAAGTATGCCTTGAATGGACTCCCTCTCCTTCCCAGTGTATTTGTGGAGTTGTTTACTCACAGATTTTCCTGTGGAACGTAACTCTAAAATACTTCACCTACACACAGATTTAGTTTTTTCTGTTCTTAAATGTTTGAAAGGAAATGCAGCTTGGAAAGCTGAAAAACATGCTGCTTGACACACCATTGGTAGTGCTGCCATTCATTTTTCTCGATGCTGATTGGCTGCATCTACAAGAGTGGAAAGAAGGAAGGCTGTGGTTGTCAGCTTCTGTGTTAGCCTGGTAGAAACCAGCCGCTTGTTCCATGCTTTCTTTCGAACAGACCATCTGGATCCTCGGCTATTCAGAAGTAAGGGTGCATCAATTTATTGCCAAGGCAGATTATCGGCACAGATTTCCTTAATTTGGGGAGATTGGAGATTGGGCGATACTTGCATGTGAAACCAATCTTATCCTGTGATTTTATCTACCTCAGCAAAGGCCTAAAAATCAACCACTGTCCTCTTCTGCTCTTCCCTCAGAGGTTTGACTGTTAGCCCCGCCCACCAGGTCATGTCTGCACGTTTGCTGTTAACAATAGTCGCCCCACTGTTGCCAACTCAGCAACTTTCTTGCTATATTTAGCAACATTTCAGACAAAAAAATTGGTGTCGGCCAAAATCGAAATCAAAATTTAAAGATTGGTTGGGAAACTGCAATCAGTGTCTAAATTAGTTTGCCTGTGACTTTAAATGGCTCAATATTTGGAAGCGTGGCCAACATGAACTGAATGGATTCTGTTCACTGATTGGCGCAATTGAAATTCAACCAGAGAAATTAAGCTCAATGGGAGAAATCCCAGGGAGATGAGAATCGTGCGGAATTGCGCCAGAAGGCAATAAGTAGGCTACATCTGTGGTACCAAGACCGTTTCTAATGTTTGTACTAATGCATATTAACATATATTCGGTGTTTTAACTATTAAAACGTTATACGCATTTTATACACAGACACACACACACCTACACAGACATGCCTACACTCATGCACACGCAAACACTTCTTCCATACTCCAGCTACATCCAGTGGAACAGTTCTACCTCTAGAGCTGTAAATAATGTCATTCACCATTATTTACATTTTTTGTATAGAACGACAAATGTGACAATCTCACTCTCAATTTTCAATGTTTCATCAGAGTTTGTGAATTAAGTGAAAACACAATTTTAATAAAAAAATTTTGCCCCCCTAATGAGAACGACCAATAGGATAATGACCCAACCAGCCATACAACCAGTTTACAATCCTAACTAATGAGCCTGCTGGCATCTTTTGAACAGTTTCCATAAAAACTCACCTTTCTGACTGGTGGAGACTAGCCAGAGGGCTGGGGTTGGTGGTGTAATGCCCACATTGTCCCCAATGTGCCAACTGTTATTTGCATGTGTGTATTCTGGAAAAGAGTCCTAAATATACCGTAGGACTTGCTGATTTAAAAAAAAAAAAAATTATGATTGCATCACAAAGTTTTGTCTTTTGTATCTTCAACATTTTGGCTGGAACCGTTTGCCGCCACATCTGACTTTCATGAACATGTAGTGCATTTGTCTATATTTTGTAATGTAAATGCATGTGTGTGTGTGTGTGCGTGTGCGTGCGTGTGTGATAGCAGTGGAGCGTGAGTCTGAGACGCATTAATAATGTATGAGGGGGAGTGGTGACGAAGAGGAGGCGGTGACAGATGGAGAATCAGTGTGTGAGTGTGTGTCGGAGAGAGAGTAACGTTCTGACAGACAGTGAGAGCTCAGAGAAAGGAAAAGGAATAGAGTGAGTTGTGGGGGGCAAAGGAAAACAGATTAAATGCTTTAAAGAAGACTTTTTCCTTCCTTTATTTCTGGAGCGTCTACTGCTGCTCTATCTCCCAGCTCTGGATTCAGCTGACAGCACCTCAAGTCTTTGTGTTTGCTCCTTTTTTTCCTGTTCTCTGTGTGCTGAAGGATTGACACACAAGGATCTACAAAGCGGTGACCAAGCACCTCTACGTGAAAGCTGCTCTGACAGAGGCTCTGAAACACGTGCAGACTGTGTGTGGTTCAGCGAAGCCCATGCAAGGATTATATACCACTTCACTCTGTAAGGTAATTGAGTTTGACAGTTTTCTCTAGAAAAATAATAACAAAAAAACTCACAAAATAATAATAACTAACACAGCACTCAGCTCAGTTTGCATTATAAAATGCTGGTGTGCAGTTAGTTCTTTGTTCTTCGCTCTGCTGTTTGTAAAAACCACAGTCCGACTGGAATCAAACAGAGTGCACTCTATTCCCTCAGTTTCCATTTCTCACAACCTTTGTCCTCCTTTTCCACCACATCTTCCATCTCATCACTGTTTACCTGCCTGAAGCTGGAGAGGAAGTGACATGGGAAATCTCTGTTGCATCAAACAGACTCATCTCTGGTTATGGATGGTGTTGCTGTACTGTATGTCTTACTTTTTAAGGTTGTTTTTTTTTTCCCACTACCTTATTATAAACAATAATTCCTGTGTTATCTAATGTTTGTCTTTGTTATATTACGTCCTTACTTGGATTGCAGGATGTGGAATAGAGAGGAAGCAAAAAAAAAAAAACAAAACAAAAAAACTCCTGCCCATGCTGTGCCCAACACACACAGGTCATCAGTTATGATTGCTTTGATTCTGCCTGACAATTTAGGCTTTTTCTGGCTTTGTTCCTCAGTTCCAGGTTTGTTTGTTTTTTTTTAAATCTTATTAGCTTGTCTTATTTTTAACCCACATATCGCAGGAAATCATCATTTTTAGGATCAGACTTTTTAAACACGTGCTCCTGAACCAGATTATATCTGATGCTTGTTTGAATCTGAGATGTCATATTGACTTCATGTCATTCAGTGAGAGACACACAGTTTTGCACATCAGACAGTCGGATGTAAACGGTGGATGAAACGAGCATGACGGATGTTCTTACCTGGAGACATGAACCACGAAGAATAAATAAACAAATACATTAAAAAATAGTATTGAACAATGTCAATACTTATCTAAATTTCCAATTAAAAATCACTAATGAGATTAAAAATTAACAACAACAGCAAAAAGATGGAAATCAAGTTTACACTGAGGATTACACGGCCTGTTTACTACCTAACTATTGGTTATAGTGTGATCCTCTGTGGTTAGCTTGGTGGCTCTTGAAGTTACTGTGCTGCATGTCATTGAACTCCTGCTCTGCAAACGGATGCATCCAGTTCAGATCTGCTTCGCTTGCATATTTTGATACTCCCCATCCTCTCGGCGGAGACGCCGGATGTGCAGCGCTGCTAAGATGTGATAACTAGATGCTGCACTAAGCCCGTTTGCTGGCCAGTTGGTTCAAACAACACAAAGTTGCCACGTTTCAAACAAGCCTTTGTAGTTTCGAGGACTGAGCATCACGTGACCACCACTGGGTGCTTTGTGTAAAACTACACAGTCAAAACTTAACAGCAATAATTTATATTTATAAGGGGAAACAAAAATAGAAGTTCATTTTTGAAGGCATATTTTCTCCATGTTATTGATTTATTAATGGATGCCACAGTTTCAAACCAAATATACTGCTCAAAAAAATAAAGGGAACATTTCACTTTAATTTTGTGTGTGGCTCCAAATCCAGGCCTCCATTGGTTAATAAATTTGATTTCCATTGATGATTTTTGTGTGATTTTGTTGTCAGCACATTCAACTTTGTACAGAACAAAGTATTCAATGAGAATATTTCATTCATTCAGATCTAGGATGTGTTATTTGAGTGTTCCCTTTATTTTTTGGAGCAGTGTAGTTAATTAGCAAGCTAAATATTCAGTTTTTTTTTTACAAAATATTTGACTCCAAACTCAATGTTTAGTTAGGTTAGCGTCAGCTAGCTTAATATTATGTTAGCAACGAACACGATGCATATTTTGTTTGTAAACAAAATATTTATCTTTCTAACTAAATATTTAGTTGCTGAGTATTTAGTTTCGATGTGAACATTTAATTTGTAAGATCAACATTTAGCTTTCTTGCTGAATATTTAGTTTGAAACTGTGACATTTATATAAAAAAATATACATGACTTTGAAAAATTAACTCCCATATCTTTTCCACTTATGGGAGGCTAAAATACCCAAATTATTGCTGTTAATTTTTGCAAACAGCACCCCATAGAACATGGCTCAGCTCATTAGCTAATATGATGATGTTAAGGCTCTGTTCATTTTCTGATAAAAATGTCTGAGCCCAGGTGAAAAGATTCATTCATATCTTTCAGTGTGTGTTTGAAACAGGAATCAAAAGTCTCATTTCTCTCTCTAATATCATGTGTTGTTGTTGTTGTTGTTGTTGGTAGACATCTTTTCTCTTTTCACTTTATCACACCGGCCTCTCAGCGTTCAGGCCTGACTGCTTTTCAGTGATCAGCTGTTTATCACTCTGAGAACTACATCTGTTCCCCCCAGTGGTCTCCAGCAGGGAAACCTTGAGTGCTTTACTTTGACCTTTGACCTATTTGAGGTCATTAAGAGACATCCTGTGTGACTCTTTCCTGATCAGACAGAATATTAATACATCTCAAACAATTTATGTAACTCTGTGTGTGTTTCTGAGGGGTCAGTTGGGCATTTGTGTGTGTGTGCGTGTGTGTGTGTGTGACATTTCCCCTGGACAGCTGGACACATTTATCAGTTCTTATTAGCTTTCTCTCCTTACAGTGCCTGACAGAAAAGAATGAAAAAAAGACATCAACATATATGTATTAGCGTTCAGTTAAATGTTATTTGCAGAGCTATTTTCATACCAACAGAAAGTTCTCTTTACTGTTTAAAAACACACAGATAAACATGCAATCACACCAGGAATGATTAAATGAAGAAGAAAAGACAGAACAATTTAATTAAGGACATTAAATTATATGACATGAAAACGCTAAATAAAACAAACAAAAAAATACTAAAAACTTTTTTGTACATAGCATAAAAACAAATGAAAAAAAATCCTTCTAAGATAACATCTAAAATAATGACAAGTGTACTCTAATCAAATGGATAGTAATAATAATAATAATAATAATTCAAATATGAAATTAAATGGAAATAATAAAATCTAAATGAATAAAAAGACTATGTATTAAAATCCAACCCAGGCTGAACCGAGAAGTTTCTCAAACGATCACCTCGGTCAGCAGCCAGGCATCAGGAAGGCTGCTCCCAAGGTGAGGAGCGTAATGAGAAAATGAAAATGACTAACAGAAGGCCTGAGGGGTCAGGTGGCCTGCAGGAGAGAAGCAAATCTGATGAATAGGGTGAACTAATAGCTTTAACAATTTTAAAAACCAATAAGCGTTCCATAAAAACAATTGGAAAAGCCACAGCTGGCTCTGCAAAGACTCACGCTCTGCTGTGATGCCAGATCGCTTCCTGGTCTGCGTCAGAATTCTTGCAGCTACATTTTGAAGATGTGGTCTTCTCTGGAAGACTGAAGCATTAAACAGTATTAAAGCAATTATTTTCCAAGATTGTAACAGCAGATGCTAATGCCAATGGTTTGAGAGAGAACAGGCCAACCTATTGCAATGTTCTCTAGAAGACAAAGTACATTCTTTTCTGTCTTTGATTCCTCGCCGATGTTTGAAGATGTGCCGTCTGTTTCTCTCTCTGGGGTTTGTGCTAATAACTAGAACCTTAGTTTGTTCTGTGTGAACTTATCTGAAATGTAATTACCTGAAATACAGGTAATTTGTACATTAGTGGCTTTTTGTCAGCAGTACAGAGAGGTGTGTCATCAGCATAGCTGTAAAACTAAAGACTTTCTCTCCTTTTGGTCACCATGTGGAGGTTGCATGCGTTGCCTGAAATGTTTGAGACCTAAAATTGAACTTTTTTTTGGTATTTTGGAGTTTAAGGGAAAAGATTTCAAGGATCAGTTTCCTAAATGTACAAAGACGTTTCTGTGAGAAATGAGCTGAAGCACTTAAACAGCTCAAGAGAGTGCAGACTGTCTGAGTGTGTGTGGTATAATAGTTTAGTCAGCAGCACTATCAGTGGCTGCATGTCGTTCTTTTAACACCGATACTGAAGTTGTGTCATGATCCATATCGGACCATTCAGGTCTTTTGTGGAGCTGATTCTGCACTGTGGTTCAATTTGAGGCCAGAAATGTTTGGTGTTCAAAAGAGAGCTGAAATTATTAGAAACCCTGTACTTAAAAAGGCGAGTTAGGAAGAGTGTGAGTGTGTGTATTCTGAGAGGCTTCATTCGTCTGTGGGAGGATTACGGCATGAATGCGCGCGATGTGTTTTGTGTCACTGGGTCAGGTGTATGCAGTAGTGTTGTGATGTAGACAGGTGTTTGCTAAGTGTTTCAACACGGTGGATATTCTGTGGAAATGGCAGAAAACTGAATACACACACACGCACACACGCAAACATTCTCATTGCGAAATACAGTCCTTCCTTTGTTTGGGAGCATTGTGGAGAGGAGGTTAATGCACCCAGAAAACTGAAAGAGAGAGAGAGGGGAACGCTAATGGACAGTGACGACGCTTTCACAGCAAATATTTGATAGCAAGAGGTCTCAGACATGAGCGTCCCATCCCCCTTCCTCTGCCTCCATCCACCCCCTCTCTCCATGGCCAAAGGGAAAAGATCAGAACAAATTATCCATCTGTGATCAGCCCACAAATGAACTGCGGTCAAATCAATGCCTCTGATGTTTATCACGTTTTGATTGGTAGGAAAGGAAACACGTTGAAGTCTTAGTCTTTCTTCAGGTAAATAATTTCAACAACTACAAAGTTGTAGTACTGTGACATTTTAGGACAAAATGTAGCCCCTCTGTCAAGCAGTCGTTTCAAATCCTCTGAAGCAGTCTATTGGGTTTGATTTTGAACATGAAAGAGAGATCCTATCTTTGCCTGAAACCTTCCGACTCTTCTGATAATCACAAATCTTTACATTTATTCCCAGACCAAAGTTTAAGGGAACCCTGGTATGGTGACAAAGCATTAATCACAGTCATAAACCTCAGCTTTGTTGATGCTCTGGTACTGTTGGACCAAGTGCTAGTGGAACACCTGATGTACCAGGTCTGCTTTCACATCATC